AAGTTTTGGGATTAAAAATGTTATTTGGCCAAAGTTTGAGTCAAAATGTAAATAAACCAAATTTAGGGGTGAAAATAACAATTATTCCTAAATTGGACCAAAAATGTAACTTTTATCAAAATTGGGCCGAAAGTGTAATTTTTTACAAACAAGGGACTGAAAATGCCATTTTCTGTAAAACTGGGCCTTAAATGTCAAAATATATATTTTTGGACTAAAACCGTGAATTTCTAGACATTGGGACAAGATTACAAATTTTTACAAATTATGGACTAAAGTGTCATTTTTACAAAACTTTGGGCCTTAACTGAAAATTTGAGGCTTACTGGCAAAGAACGTGGTTTTTACAAAAAGAGGACTTTTTATATTCAATTAGGTAAACCTCGAACTAAAACAATCAACGAAATAATAACAATAGGTGAAATACATCGATAACAATTTTATTGGGCCTAATATTCACGTTGCATGGCCAATGGGCCTTAAGGGCCCATTCAAGTGTATATCGAGCCCAATAATTTCCACGACATATTTATTGGGCCATGCGACCCAATTACATGATTTGGGTCTAAATTATGTGTCACATGTTTGTGGGGCCTTTGTGGTCCATTTTACATGTCTACTGGGCCCAAATTACCCACTTACATGTTATTGAGCCTTTGTGATCCATTTACATGCTAATTGGGCTTGGACTGAAATTTACATGATTAGTAGATCGTAACTATACCTTCACATAACTATTGAACTTTGTATACGTATAAATGTACCTTTGGATGGATAACGCACAACATACACGTAAACATTAAACATAGTACGAAAGGTTGAGAATCTAGTGAGATGTGTCGGTTGGCACCTTTGAGTGTACAATCGTAGCTTGTAGTTATAATCATATTCTCCTGGAGGGAGAGCGAGAGTTTGTGTATAGATCTATACGGGGTGACCCCCACGACTTAGCTGTTCGCTACAGCTAGACTAGGCCAGTCTAGGGCGACAAAACCTTGAGCAATACCGGCATTTGGAAAAAATGCCAAGACAGGCAACCTAGTCATTATCATGTATGGTTATAACGGCTCATAAAGAGATTCCAATACCAATTTAACATTTCGGAGATTAACCCTTCGATCGTGTCAATACAAAACAACTTATTAAACGATACAAGAACCTCAACATTATAACAAATCAGAAAATATCGGATTTTCTGGGGAAATATTAATATTCAATTATCACTTACTTACAATACAAAGAAATCTAAACTACTTTTATATATGTTACTACTGTGAAATTCACACATGCATTTATACTTGATTTTCACATCATTTTCAAACATTTTACAGAAAATATCGGATTTTCTGGGTTTTTACGAAAGATACAAAGACTTTTACTCAAACATACTTATGAACTCACCAACATTATATATGTTGACCATTTTCAAAATAACTTGTATTCTCAGGTAATCATTAAGCTGGAAGATTTTTAAGTATGTATGAATTATTTTGTGTAACATCACTCATCGTACTTTTAGTAATTTGAACTTATGTATTTATAACAATGTACTTGATGTGAACAATGTTGGTTGTAATATGAAATGTTGGTGATAAATGTGTTATGTTTCATGTGTATTCATTGTGATGATAATTCAATTGTTAGTCACACGAGCCCCCGGACGTTTCCGCCGTCTAGTTCGGGGGTGTAACACAAATCATTCGTTTTTTTCCACAAACAAAAACATGGCTCAAGACACATATGCTAATTGTAGCAACTCTTCGTCCTCCATCATCTACTCTGAAAATGACGATTTCCTTCGTAAGTTTGATTTCCATGCTATGTCTGACCGCCAACAAGTAGATGCAGTTTATATATTTAACTTTCATTTATGAAATATACATTATGTCAAATAGTTTTTGGATTATTTTTACCCTCATATTTCATTTTCCTTTTTTTATTATATAATTTAAACTTACATTAATATTTTTCAGAAAAAAACATTGATTGTTGTCGATATGATTAAGCATGTGTAAACTGATGTGGAATGATACTATTAGGCTTGTACTAAATGTCAAAAGAAAGCCATAAAAGTCGTTTTAATGCATGATGACCAAAAGCAAGATAAAGAAATTTTTTATTGTTACATTTCAAATTGCATAAACAAAGACATATTTGTTGTTCCAGGGTTTTCAATAATTCCTTTATACATATTATTATAATATTTTGTTAAATTTTCTACTTTTATATTACTTAATTTGTTTATATCAATAGTTTTATTTTCAAAATCATCACTAGAGTACAAAACTTTATCGGTGTGGTGTCACTTATGTTATTTGATCGTGACACAAAGAAACTTCTGGAAAAAACCCTACAAGAGTTGCTTCAAAAGTATAATGAGGTTATCGATATTAACTTCATTTACATAAATTATTTTTTACTTTTTGTCTATTTTTTTATATCCGTTCATTTTTTTATTTTTAGGAGGGTAATATGGAGATTTATCCATCTGTTGTGAATGTACTTTTGGATAAAAAGTTGGCATTCGAAATTCAAATTTCACATGATAATTTAAAGAACAAAGTTGATTGTTATGCAATCTCAAAGGACAATTATGGTGCATAGTATGAATCTTTTTAAACTCTGCCCACATGTTTGCATTCAATAAGTAGAAACAAACTTTGCTTCTCAAAACTCAAAATCCTATTGTATACTTCAATCATACCTCACCCACTATAGTCCCCACCTCTACCCATTTCTGCATTTGATTAACAAATAATTCATAATCACATTTCCAAATGTGCCCTTAACTATTTTCTTCCCTGTAAAATGTAAAAGTGAACAATTACATATGAAAATTAAATGATATAATTACACAAAGAGATAAAAGTACATTATCATAGGTTACATCTTGGCCGATGAAGGTTAAATGCAAGATATAACAACATACTTCCATTTTGTTTGTAAAATATAGCATCAAAATTTTATTTATAATTCTTATTTAAAAAAAAGTTATGTTTTTTTCTTATTAAATCATTATATTTTCAAACGATACATAAAACTTTTTCTTAATTGAAGAGCTGAAACTTTGAATGTCCAGGGTCGCCTTCTTCATCTTTGAATTGGCCATTTAGTCATCCTCACTGTTATTGATATTTTTCAACCACAAATCCAATCTTTGTTCTACGGCCTAAAACTTAGGTTGATGGTTTTGTTCTGTTATCTGAGCCATCAAAACCAGGTTTTGTTTAACATTGTCATACTGTAAAGACACAGTAAAAACAAACACTTTACAAAGTTTACAATGATTTAGAAACTTTCACCTTTTATATCAAAGTCACTATCATTACTATATTGATTTTGATAGATACAGTTGGTATATGTTAACAGATTCTACATTTGTACAAATTTTTTGACAACTACTTTGTTCTCATTATTGATCTTTTACCCGTGGTTTACATAGGTTGTAAGTTGTAACCTAAATAATCAGACATTTTATTATACTTTTTAGACATTTCAATATAATCAATAATACGAAGTCTTTTTATGTTACTTTTACCTTATTTTTTTATTGGGAAATTTCCATCTATGTCCTTACAAATTTTAAATATTACTTCGATATCCTTGCAAACTTAAAAATTACATATATATCCTTATGAAACTATAAAACTCACATTTATATCCAAACTCATAATTTAATTTGGATTTTATCAATTTAATATTAAAAAATGTATCTAAACTTCAAAAATTCCATAAGACTTTACCAAACTACCCTTTTCAATATTAAATCATAAATTTAATATTAGGTATTTCTACGTATCGTTGGGCGATGGTTTTTTTGTTTCTTTTTGTGTTCTATAGTTTGCCATGGACAAATAAATTATGATTTAATATATTGGATGTTTTCTTGCTTATACAAATAAATTTGTGCATTATCGACGTACAAGTTTGCTTAATTTATGTTTGTAAGTTGGAATATACATGGTTCATTTTTTAGCTTGTGTAATCGTAAGTCAACAACAAGTATGTCTTTAGAAAAATTGTTTACTTTAATAAAGAATTGAGGCCATATACAATGCCACGTTAGTGATTTGTGAGTTTGACATGTGCAAGGGACTTTGTATTATTAAGAATCATCAATTCAATTTGGCTGTTGCGGGTTTGAGGAACCTATACTTCCGGCAACAGTTTGGGTGCAAGGAGACGAAGGGGAAGAGGGTGTGGGTATTGGCTAATCTTTAATTTGGGAAGGGCATTTTGGTAAATTTGTATGAAATTTTGAATTTTAGATAAGTTTTTTAATATTAACTTATATAATCTAAATTAAATTATAAGTTTGGATATAAATGTGAGTTTTATAGATTGAAAATGATATATGTGTAATTGTATTATTTGTAAGGATATAGAAGTAATATTTAAAGTTTGTAAGTTCTCTAATTTTTATTGTATCTATTTTTTTATAATTTTATATGTAGTTTTTTTATACGCTTGATTCATTTTACGTTTCCATCCGGCCTACCAAATGGCAAATGCTATCGACTCAGCTACCATCAGAATTCAGAACCCACTGCCAATTTTCGAGACCCTCAGAGAGCAAACGTATGCATTCCATCGAAGTAGTAGCTTGGTTGCTTCGAATGGAGATGCCCATATATGGAAAGCACTACATTCTTCTTCTACAACTGCATTATTTCTTTCAGGTAAATAGCATTTCAACTAAGCATATTTAATCCCTATTTTCGTTTCACTACTATTCTAACTATGTTTTTGCCGTCAATTGATTCGTTTCAAGTTCCAGTCTCGCAAACAATATCATAGAACTTGTCATATCGTTTTTTTCTTAGTCTTAATTTTGTTTCTTTCTTCATGGGTTTATTAGCACCGAAACGATTTATATATTCGCTTCAAGCTAAATTTTCTATTTTGAATCGAAAACACAAATACCAAAGCCTGCAGCAACTAATCTGTCGATTCTAACTAGGGTTTTGAACTCTAATTTTGAGCCATTTGTTGTGGAAGCAATGATACTGACTGCAAACAGCTTTTGGGTTCCACTTCCACCTCTTTTAGCTCTTAATGCTGGTTGTAAATCCAGATCACAAGTTCTTGTAAGGAGTATATCTGGTGAGGATCCTGTAGTATTATCGGATTCTTTTAGAGTTGATAAATTAGCTTCTGTTGGTGAGAGGACTAGGCTAAGTTATGAAGTTGTAGGAAAGAAAAGAAAGGAAGATGTTTCTGAAAAATTAGAAGTTTTGTGGGATGATGGGTTTGGGTCTCAGAGTGGTAAAGATTTCTTTAAATTGGCCACTGATATTATTAAACCAGATGGAGGACCACCACGGTGGTTTTGCCCTATCTCATGTGGTACACCATTGAAGGATTCACCTGTTCTTTTGTATTTACCTGGTAATTATTCAAATTTTCAAGAGTCTTCAATTCAATCAACACAGATAACATTTTGTTTGTAATTCTTGTGTAAGTGGTAATCTTGTAGTATGATGATGAATCCAATGATCTTATAGACTATAGTAATGTCTGGTTCATGTTCATATGCATTCTTTGATTGGTTTTGTAAAGCTGTTAATAACCCTTTGTGATATTTTGTAATTTGAGCTTCAATTTATTTTTAATGTTTGGTTGTGTTAATTCATTCAGGATTGGATGGAACTGGATTGGGGCTCATTTTGCACGAGAAAGCTCTTGGGAAGTGAGTCACAACTCATATTGTAATTATTTTTTTATTAATAATAGTGTAAACTCTGTGTTTTTGAAGAATATGAAATCATTGTCATTCTTGTAACCATGAATCTTTGCTTGATTGCAGAGTTTTTGAAGTTCGAGCTTTGCATATTCCTGTTCAAGATAGAACACCACTTGAAGGTATTTAATTTCACTTGCATATCTATGCTGACATTCACTTATTTTCTTGCTTTATTTTTCATGTTCATTATGAACAAAATGAAAAATTGGAGTACATTCCATCATTCCCAAAGGTTTTCTATAAAGTTATATGCCTGCTTTAGAATCTCTCTCCACCCTCAGAGCATTCACTTTCTGCATTTGTATACTTGTAAATCTATCTAATTTGCAATTATTACAAAAATATTTAGAGAGATTATGATATATTTTCAATTGGTACCATTTCCTTAAGTCCAAGGCTCCAAGCAATTTGTATAGTCACACATTATTAGAACCTAATTCTATTCACACATTATTAGAACCTAATTATTTATAGAGATTATAGACACACACACACACACATGTGTAGAAACTGATTTAATTCATGAATTTTGTTGTATGAAGATTTGATTAAATTTGTTGAAGAAAGCGTGAGGCTGGAGCATGCTTCATCTCCAAAGAAGCCAATTTATCTGGTTGGAGATTCCTTTGGTGGATGTTTAGCTCTTGCAGTTGCTGCTCATAATCCTACAATTGACTTAGTAATTATACTTGTGAATCCAGGTCAGTATTTCTATTTTATTTTATTTTTTTATCCAATCACCCATATTTCTTCTATCTGTTTCAGCAACTTGTTTCGAGAAATCACGACTTCCAACTTTTCTTTTTCTACTCGAGGCTCTTCCTAATCTATTTTATGGTGCCTTGAGTTCAATTTTCTTATCTACAATACGTGTATGTGACCTCTTTCTTTGAGCTTATACTCAACTTATGTTCATCTGATAAGAGTATGTTTATTTGTTAGCAGGGTTTAGTTGATATATTACCAAAAGATGCTCTTATTTGGCGATTGAAACTACTTAAATCAGCTGCTGCATATGCTAATTCTCATCTTCCTTCCATTACTGCTGAAGTTTTGGTTTTGGCCAGGTTACTTAAATCATATTATTCATATTCCAGCATCATTGTTACTCTTATAAAAAAAATAGTTATTATTATCATCTCTTTTATTAGTGTCCTAATAATATCAATTACTATTGGTAATGTTACTATGATTTGGTCCTTAATTTTGAAAAAGCTTCAAAATATAATGCTCTCAGAGGAAGAAATAAAAGTAGGATGCTATAATAAACAATCAATGGAAGTACGTTGCTATGTCTTGCATTTAACTCATTCGGAAAGAGGCTTGTTGTGTTTACAATATATAAACATGCATGTAGTTTTTGTTCTACTGTACGTTTCCAAAAAAGTGAAACAAAAGAAAGTGATTTGTAATTGAAGCATTGAAAAAGTTGTTGAAATAAGTCGATCCTCATGGATACAATTTATTAATTTGGTGGAATAACTTTTCAGTTATAAGGATAAGCTACTCCCTAGTGAAGATGAGGCACTAAGGCTTACAGAATTGTTAAAAAATTGCAGCTTACACTTCTTAAAAGGCAAAGGTCACATGATCCTATTGGTAATGCCAACTCTTATACTTTTGGTTCTTTTATATTGATCAATGTATAATCTATTTCTTTTTCTTGTCATCCTCATTAAATGCCCTTTTATGCACAAAAACTTGAGATTCTTATCAACACATGACTACTTTTTGATTTACACACCTTTGTCTACATTAATATATTCATACATCGACTCAACACATCTTTGCTTACAACAAAATATTTGTCCATTCCTCATCCATAGTATTAGGTGATTTATTTATATTTTTAGTGCAGGAAAATGATAGGAATTTGTTGACAATTATAAAAGGTTCTTCAAAATACAGACACACCTCATACCATGATGAGGTCAAGGACCATCTCCCTCCCAGTATGTCAGAGTATAAAAAGGAATCCAAAGGCCATTGGTAATTATCTCAACATATGCATATTTCATTTTATTCATTTCTTTTTTCTTTTTCTTTTAAAACTTTTTATTTCATCTTGACAAAGTTGCTTTGTAGTCTAACTAGGTCCTATCATTTTCTTAAAAGTTGTCTGAATCTGAATGATATTTAAAAAAAACATATGAGAAAATGATTGGACATTATATCTACTTTCATTTATTTTTTTTATCATAACATCATACTTTCATTGCTTTGTATTAAAGCATTCTACTTTCAGTTTTTTCTTATTAAGACATTGTATTTATTGGACATACATTATCGTTTAAAAAATCTACCCTTTTATAGCTCTGATACTTCAATGACATTGCTTTAGTTGCATAAACTACAAAGTTGTAAAATTGTAATAAGAAGAAATGAAAGTAGGATGCTTCAATAGCCTTATATTAACTCATCTCTTTCTAGTTTCTACATTAACTAAAAAAGAAACACTCATTATATATATATATATATATATATATATATATATATATATATATATACAAGTAAAAAAAAAAACGAAAAATCATCTAATCTCACTTCTAACTAAATACAGGTTGTATCACCTTGCTACAAGTCCAGTGATGCTTTCAACAATGGAGGATGAAAAAATAGTAAGAGGATTAAACGGGATTCCAAAAGAGGGCCCCGTATTATTTGTTGGGAATCATATGCTCATGGGGCTCGATCTTTTCATACTTCTTTTACAATTTTTGAAAGAAAAAAAAATAATTCTTCGTGGATTAGGGCATCCAGAAGGTCTTAAACTCGACATTCAATCCGGGATTCCATATATTTCAATTATTTTACGAGTGTTTGGAATGTTGCCTGTGACTCCAATCAATTTTTTTAAATTATTTTCTACAAAATCATACGTGCTTCTTTACCCTGGTGGCGCACGTGAAGCCCTCCACCGTAAGGTCTGCCACCTCACCACTTCATCTGCGTATATTTTCAAGGGCTAAATGCAATAAATAGCAATCTACTTTCTATAAGGTTTTGTTGTAATATTGTGTGTTGATGTTTTTATTGTTTCTCAGGGTGAAGTTCATAAGTTATTTTGGCCTGAACAACAAGAGTTTGTAAGAATGGCTGCAAAGTTTGGGGCCACTATTGTACCCTTCGGATGCGTAGGGGAAGATGATGTGTCACAAGTAAGAAATAACTTTTTTTTTTAGATAATCGTAATTATGTTTTTTATAAAGGTTGGGCCAATAGGTTTTAAAAAGTACAATTCGTTGATAAGATTTTGTTTTTTGAAAGTAGATTGTCGATATGTAATCTGTATCTCCATGGATATGATTTTATTTTGATGGTTTAAAACATGCAAGATGATCTTGGATTACAATGACTGGAAGAAAAATGCTGCAGTCAGTGACTATTTAGAAGAAAATAATGAGAAATTACTTCTTTTGAGGTAAACACAAACTTTTTTCTTTATGTTTTACTTTCATGTAATAAAATCAAGTAACCATTTAACATGTGTTTAATAATATAATAACGTGTTCCATATGGATAAAAGAGTGAGAAGGAGTTTAAGTGAGAAGTTTGGTCATCTTGGTATGATGGAATGAAATACACTTATAATATGTATATATATATATATATATATATATATATATATATATATATATATATATATTAATGAAATTTGAGATTTGTTTTGTTTTATGGTAAATAGGCAAGATAAGGAAGGGGAGGTTGCTAACCAACAACTTCATTTACCATTGGTTATACCCAAGATTCCGGGGCGATTTTACTATTTTTTCGGGAAGCCTATAAAAACAAAGGGGCTTGAGAAGATATTGAATGACAAAGAGAACGCAAATGCATTGTACTTGCAAATAAAGAATGAGGTTGAAAAGAAAATTGCGTATTTGATTAAGAAGCGAGAGGAGGATCCTTATCGAGGATTTGTGAAGAGGGTTGTGTATCAAGCAAAAATCCAAACTCCTTTCGATCAAGTTCCGACATTTGAACCTTAGATGATACATAACTTGGATAATGTATTTTATAATTGGCTAAATGCATGAAATAGCAATGTACTTTCATGTATTTGTGTATTATAGTATTCAGTTTTCATTTATATATGTTATAGTGTGGTACTTTTTTTTTCTAGTTAAAGGCATTTGTATTTTATAATCTCTCATTTGTACTTAAAGACAAGATTGAAATCACCAAAAAAACATATAAGTCTCATTATACCTATTCATAAACGCCAAAAGAAAGCTCCATAGCTTTTTTTTTTTTTTTTGGTCTTCCTCCCAAGGAGCGTAAACATTAACTATAAAACATTGAAATTTAGAAAACACCCATTCCCCTTGGACAATAACCACATTATTAGTGCAAATAATCTTGTTTTTAATAAAAACAGTGGGATCCCACATTGATAAAATCCCCCTGAACTATGAGCTGAACTAGTAGCAAAATCAAAAGAAAAATTTCCCAAACACTTCAAAGAACAAATAGATCAACATCCTTCATTTTGGTTTCTTAAATAGTAATAATCAACCATAATTCTTTTTACCATCGAAGTAGATTGCTTTTGATTAATAATACAAAACATTTTTATTTTAATAATTTTTTTTTTACGTTTATGTTTTTTCTAACTAGCCTCGTACTTTATAATTAATCTTTAAAAGCTCTATATACTTTTTTTTTTTGTCTAATTATCATTTTTAATTTTAGTCTACAATATTAAATATTAAATACATAATAGTCATATGTTATCGTTTTTCATTTTGATTTTATTTTTATAGCTATACATGTTCGTCCTTTTGTGACATTTATTTCATTGAAATATATTTATTTTATGTAATGTTAGTGTTATGTATTTTTTTTTTAGAATTTTTTTTTAATATTACACATGCTTCAAAAAAACAAATTAGATGAAGAGTCTTTATAAAATATTTTATAAAGATGAAGAAAAAAACTTTTAAAATTGGTTAATGATCCGAGAGAGTGTAAATTAATAGGCTTTTATTCGAAAAAATAATAATTAGTGGAAAGATATATAACAAAATAAAAGCTACCTATAAAAAGCATCTACATCATGCATAACTTTTTTGTTTTGTCATATCAATTTTACTATTGTATTTATCAAACAAAAAGTAAAACTTAAACACAATTCAATCATTAATCATTTTGAAAAGTTTTTTTTTTCCTGTATTCAGGCCGGGTGGACGATATGGACGACCGTCCATGTCCCAACTTTTAAAGGGTCGGGTGGACGATATGGACGACCGTCCATGTCCCAACTTTTAAAGGGGTCACTTTTTTTTTATGGAAATTGTTATATTTAGAAGATAGTACAAATAATTTTCTTTCAATTATTGAGTTATTATAAAAAAAACTTGATGACATTTGTGTATTTTAAAGGCTTATATTTTTCTCTCGCTCTAGACCCAAAATATATTTGGAACGACTGTGTCTGTATTTAACTAATCTTTCATCATTTATATTGAATGCATTATAAAACTCTCATTTAAATCTGTCATTTTTTACATAAATATCAAATTTTAAATGCAATATTACATGTCAAAAAATTTTAATTAAAATAATATATTTATTATAAAAATACGAAAGACGATAAATTCTTATGTCCACACTTATAAAAAAAAATACCAAAAGTATTATATTATATTTAAGAATTTAATATTTAATATCAAACATTAAAATGAAATATTTATTAAAAGAAATTAATTAGTTAATAAATAACAAATATTTAAAGTCCAACTATAATTAGGGAGTAAAATGAAATATCATTGATTAAAGAAGGTTTTAAAGCAACTCTAATGACTCACCTCTCAGACCTCTCAGTGTGCACACTACCGCACACTACAATATATATGAGGTGGCACCATAGTGTGCGACAAACACCGCACCGACCCCCAAAGGAAAACCACGATATTCATACCACACGAGAAGGTTTCACCGCACGGGAAAAACATGCATATCCCTCAAATGTATACTTTGTATATAAAAATATGTGATATTGTGGGTGTGGTATGATACCCTCTAGTTTTGTGGGGTGAGTGAAAAATAAAATGGTGATGACGCGAAAGTGCAAAAATGTGGTATGTGTGGTATGACACGACCAGCCTCAAAAACTTTTTATTTTTGCCGCATCATTTTTCCACTAACTTTTATTTGACAAAAAAACTTTTTTTTATAAAATTAACTAATTTATCATTTATCTATCTTAAACATTTTATTAAGCTCACTCATATAAATTATCACTTTAAACATGTCATATTTTTTACAGAATAAAACATTACTTGATATTATTATTATTAGAATGAATGAAAATATTACAATAACAAATATACATTTAATCCAAAGAAAAATAAAATAAAATAAAACTCAAAAAATAACTTTGTCGGGTAACTTTTTCGGAAATTATAAAGGATGATAAAATTTTCACATATGTAGTTAAAAAATAAAAGAGCTAAATGACTATCTTACCACAATGTTTTATAATATTTGATATTTTTTCTTAATTTTAAAAGTCATGACAACTATTTTTAAATTTGATAACATTTTCATAAAATATATTAATTATTTTTTTATTAATTTAATTAATTAACTAAATATAAAAGAAATCTAATATCTAAATATTATGAGGGTATAAAATTAAAATTTACTAAATATAGGGATCAAATGTGGCAAAATTAAAAAAAAAACTAGAAGGTTAGAGAAAAATAAATGTTTGTAGTAACCTCTCAATCAATCTTATCTCCTGTAGTAAAAAGTTTTATAATTTTCTTTTTCAAAAGTAAAAAACCTTAAAAAAATCTACCATTAAAGATGTTTTTAGTTATATTATAGAAAACTAAAAAAAACCTTTTGGTTAATATCGGGGTTTGAGAATTATAAGAATGACTAAATAAATGTTACATGAAGATGAAGAAATGATATGAGAGAAAGAGATTTCATTGATTCTTGCTTTGGTTATTACATAATGATCAGAAAGATCAAGAATAAATAAATGACTAACTCAGCTAACATTCTCTCTCTCTAACAGACTAACTACAATTAGTTAACTGCTAACTGAAATGAAAACAACTTGATAATTAACACGTGGAGTTATTTATGACTAACACCCCCCCCCCCTCAAGCTAGAGGTGGAGAAGACAAACCCAGCTTGCATACAACTTCTTGATGTCGTGGACCAGATAAGACTTTAGTGAACACATCTGCTAATTGATCATGTGTAGAAACATGAGAAAGAGAAATAAGACCTTCTTGCAGCTTTTCTCTTATAAAATGACAATCTAAATCAATGTGTTTAGTCCTTTCATGAAAAACTAGGTTGTTAGCAATGTATATGGCTGCTTGATTATCACATTTCAAAGGAATTGGAATAAGATCTTCAACTTCTAATTCAACAAGTAATTTGTTCAACCAGGCTAACTCTGAACATACACGTCTCATAGACCTGTATTCTGCCTCGGCTGATGACAAAGACACAGTGGTTTGTTTCTTTGATTTCCAGGAAAGAGGTGATCCACCAAGAATGATGTAAAAACCACTTATAGATCTTCTTGTTATTGGACATGCAGCCCAGTCTGAATCACAGAAGGCTTCAAGTTTGAAACTTGGTTTATTGTTCTATAAAATTCCTTGCATATTTGTTCCTTTAAGATATTTCAAGACATGTTTTGCAGCATCAAAATGCGCTTGAGAAGGCTGCTGATTGAATTGACTTAAATGCTGAACAGCGAAAGACAAATCAGGTCTGGTATGTAATAAGAAATTCAGCTTGCCAACTAGTTGTCTGTAAACAGTGGGATCAGATAGAGGATTCTCCATAATTGGTAACAATTTCAAATGCAATGGCAATGGAGTAGTTGTAGGAGAAGTATCCAACATAGAATAAGAATGAAGTAATTCCATTATGAATTTATGTTGATGAACGATCATTCCTTGTTCTGTTTCATTAAACTCCAGGCCAAGGAAAAAATGAATATATCCCAAATCTTTGATTTTGAATTGATCATCAAGAAAAATCTTTAAGTCCTGAATTTTTGTGGGATTGTTTCCAGTAACCAAAATATCATCGACATAAACAGCTACTATGATAATGGTATTGGATTTCTTTTTTATAAAGAGTGAATGATCATTTAAAGAATGAGAATAACCTCTTGATTTGAGTGCTATTGAAAGCTTGGAATACCATTGCCTAGAAGCTTGTTTGAGACCATAGAGAGATTTCTTTAACTTGCATACAAGAGAAGAAGAAGGAACATTTAAACCAGGTTTTATTTTCATATAAACTTCTTCATGCAAATCGCCATGCAAAAATGCATTATTTACATCAAATTGATGTATTTTCCATCCTCTTTTGACTGCAATAGAAACAATGGCTCTTACTGTATTGAATTTTACAACAGGGAAAAAAGTTTCATGATAATCTATCCCTTGTTTTTGTGTAAAACCCTTTGCTACAAGTCTAGCTTTGTGCCTTTCAATAGTGCCATCAGATCTGTATTTCACCTTATATACCCATCGGCACGAAATAGGTTTCTTTCCTTTGGGCAATTTGACTATATCCCATGTGTTATTAGCAAGTAATGCATCAAACTCTTTCTGCATTGCAGCTTCCCAAGCAGGATGACCTTTTGCTTAATTATAAAACGCTGGTTCAATTTCATGAGTAGTTGCTTGAAAAACTAGTGAATTGTTTGTTGTTGAAGCAATACATGGTTGACTAGAAAGATTGTTAATCCACAAATTGGTGATAGTATGAGAACAAGAAAAATCATTGGTAACAATATCTCTACAAACGAAATCTTGAAACTTGGATGGTGGATGCACTATCCTTGAAGATCTTCTTAGAGGTTGTTTTGGGATAGTAGTAGAAGATGGAATTTGTTGAGAGTTTGATTCAGAAACATGAGTGTTTGAAGAGATAGGATTTTGACTTGATTGACAAATAGAATGATCATCTGAAATAGATTGAGGAATATAGGATGAATCATCTGAATTTGTAGAATTTTGTACCAGGGGTAATAAAGGAAATTTGTCTTCAAAAAATTTTACATCTCTAGAAATGAAAATTTGTTTGGTAACCATGTTTAACAGCTTGTAACCCTTTTGATTGTACGTATATCCAATGAAAACACATGGGTATGATCTTGGCATAAATTTATCTCTTTGTACATGTGACAACCCGAAACTTTTCCCGTTATCCTTACCAAGTTTCCGTTAATAAAATTTGGGTTTTTCATTTAATTCCGTCAAATTTCTTAATTTGGGAAGGACCTTAAGTTTTAAATAAATAATATGTATTTTATACGATTCGGAATAAACCGGGAATCACGCGAAAAACTTGAAACTTCCTCGAAAATCATCGAGTTCACGGTCAGGGCGAGTTTACGACCGTAAACTCGTGTAGACCGTAAACCCGTTTACCGTCAGGACCCTTGAGTTTACGGTCAGGGTGACCGTAAACTCCCTCCTATATATATATTTCATGATCATTTTTGATCATTTCTTCCATTTCAAGCCTAGAATCTCGAAAACTCTCTCAAGTATCATAGGATCTTCTTGCAAATCCCGTAAAATGTAAGCGTTTCCTTCCCTTTTTGAGTTAATACATCTCTTCTTCTTGATTCATTCTTGAATTCATCCACAAATCTCATCTTTTGAGTCTAGATCTTCAAGATCCTCAAGAACACTTAAGTGTTTTTGGGCCGAAAACACCCCCATTTACCTCCAAATCGTAAGTACCATCCTCCTTTACATCTATCTAGTTACAATCCTTCATTTTGGACTTAAGATCATCACTCTATGCATTAACAAAAGAGTTTACGGTCCTATGAATCTTCATAGACCGTAAACCCTTATAAAGGGTGTTCTTATAGCCTTTACCCTTCCTAAGGCTAAGCATGGTCCCTAGAATCCGATGCCTTTGAATGAAGCCCTTGAAAACCATCATTTGTGCAAGATTGATGAGTTTACGGTTGTATCTCCTTAGACCGTACACCCTTCAATGACCGTAAACTCATGGGCCGTAAACCCATGGACCGTAAACCTTATGACCGTAAGGTCATTAGACCGTAAATCTTATGACCGTAAGGTCATTAGACCGTTAACCCATGGAACCGTAAACCCATGAACCGTAAACCCATGGACCGTAAACCTTATGACCGTAAGGTCATTAGACCGTGAACACTTGGACCGTGAACTCCAATGGTCATACCTCTTTGACCGTAAAATCTATAGGGTGGCCATATACCTTAGTTATGCAATCATATGTGATTGTATCCCAAAAATCTTAGAGTTTCCTAGACAATAAGGGTGTTACCCTTCTTATTTAGTCGTCTATACACTAAATTCATACAGATACATGTCTATTGTGTCTATTAGGATCGTTGTGTGCTCAAGGTTACACGTGACACTCTACACTCCTCTTCCAACCACACGTCAGAACCACTCACTACAGGTGAGTTCATACCCCTACGCTTTTCTGAGTTTTTATGTTTTCAGGGGGAGAATACAAGCAAAAGTAAAAGGAAACTTGTGCTCAAAATATATTATTTTGTTTAAGATAATTATATTTCTAGTATGCTTTTAACATGGAAAACAGTTTTTACCAAACGATTAAGAAATCAACTCGTAGAAACAGTTTTCAAAACTAGGGTAACGAACTTGTGAATCATGTCGTAAAATGTATCATTTTATAAAGGATACCTGCAAATCATAAAAAGGATTTTCCATATTATTACTTGTAAATTTGTTAGTCTAGTTGGAGACACGTCCTTGGTAACACTCACCACCGAAACAGAGTGTAGGACTAGCACTTATGACCAGAATCTCTTGTAGGGAGAGCGTGACTGTTGTGTATAGATCTATATGGGACTGACTATCCTGCACCTCGCTGCTAGCTATAGTGGGACCGGCAGGTCTACGGGTGACAAAGTCATAAAGGATATTTGTCACACCCTCGGCCGCCGGCGGAAACGACGAGGTGCGCGACGTAAATCAGTAATCACAGTTATTAAACATACATTGAACAGTACAAATATAATTTTCTATTATAACCGAAATAGAAATTACATTGATAATGGCTATCACTAAATCGTGACACACGCCTAACAATCTGGCGTTTACAAATGTATAATACAATTAATGAAGAATCTTCTAAGCGAATACGTCTGATCTGTTAAATAACCTGAGAATACATGCATTTAAAATACGTCAACGAAATTGTTGGTGAGTTCTACAGGTTTTGACACAGAGTACTTTTATAACCCAAAAGTGTTTGGTAAAATTTGACTGGCTGACCACCTTTTATAAATATTTACTTTTCTATTAAAAAGTATAAAATAATTGAGTTATAAAAATGTGTTATGACTCATTCATAAATACCATTTGTTCAAATCCAAATGTACAAGAGTTGAAAAATACATATAAGTAATTCAGACTTATATCAAATTGCATTTTTATATAAATATTTTGAATATCAAATTATATAAAAATAGGAAATGGTACCCTTTGTGAGAACATAGAATAACCAACTTTACTCTTGAAAACTTATACAAGAATTTGTATCATTTATATGAAAAACTCATAAGTCTTGAATTTATGAACTTTGTAAAATCGTGTTGTGACAATAATTAAGTATTATCTGACTTAATTTGAAAACCGACACTTAACTGGTGGGGCAAACTCCTCCCACATAAATATTGCGTTTTCTTATACAAAAAAATGGTTTATATAAATAACTTATCTTATATAAGTTAATAAATCTTGTCGAGTCGTGTCATGATATTAATTAAGTGTTATATAACTTAATTTTTGGTATTGACACTTATCGCTTTGAGTCACATGCTATCCCACTAAATACAGTTTCTTTCAACTAGAATGAGTGAACATAAACCCCGTATAAATCCAATATCGATTCTATACGGTAACGAAGCAAAACTGGGATTTTATAATGAAATCATAACCGAACTCGTGACACTATACTTTATTAATGCACCGACACCATAATAAGGCGTGCGTGCTAAAGTCATTCACCCCGTTGTAACACGTGGTAATGTTTCGATAATGCTAACGTCAGCGCCAAAATTCATCTCGTCAGATGTAGTTGTAGCTAGCAACTCCAGGCGGGCGGTCGTACCATATAAGATCAATAATATGACACTTACACCCGACGTTAGTCGTTCCCTCGAGGATTAACAGTTATATATTGGAGAGTTTCTACTAAGTATTGAGATCTTAGCTTTCGCGAAACCCGGAATAGTTTATAATGGATACTCAAACGTATCGGATATGGTATTCGGAATAGGTATGATAAACCTATATGGAATAAGTATGATGAACCTATATGGAGTAGGTATGATAAACCTGTATGGAATAGGTATGATAAACCTATCTGGAATAGGTATGATAAACATATATGAAGTAGGTATGATAAACTTGTATGGAATAGGTATAATGAACCTATATAATCCATTCTAAATTCACTGGGTATGTAACATTATTCACCGTTTAGGAAAACGATAACTGAAATTCTTATAACGTCAAGAATTTATCATACTGGATACAGTTCGATGTTGTATTAGCATAATAGCTAATTTTTGAATTTATCCAGCTTGGATCGACCGTAAATCTACATTCCCCATATTTTATATAAATTATGCGAGAATGTTTTTAATACATTTAATTTGGGATAAAGGTAAAGTCTTTAAATACAATACTCGACAAGTATTTATTTCGTAAATAACGACTCTTAAGTTCTGAAGTCGATCATGTTATTTATTGTGATAAGCATAAATAACTTAGTATAATGAAGTTATGTTGTTATAATTAATATAAAAATATATTAATAATTTCTCAATTCATCTTTACATATCCTTATATATATTAAAAGTTAAATCTTATAATTTTAACCAATAATTATATAATCTCATGAATTTAATCTTCCATCAATTATGGCAATATACTTTCATTTTATACATGGATAATAATTTTGATCATTATTATATCGTTCCATGCTTCCATGAGATACTTTATCTTATACATGTAAAGTCATCATTTTTGTGACTCATAATATCCACTTGTATAATTATAGCAATATACTTTCAATCTTGTGATTTTTCTTAATAATTATATTTATATTTCACATAAAGTATAATTATATCAACTTATAACAATCTACTTTAACTTAATAGATTTGCTAGTGATTTATCACATCTTTAGATTGCTATTTCATAAACGTTTGACCAATAACAAAGTAAGATGTTATTTTATATATAAAACTTAAAAATCATCAAACTTTAATAGACACGCATATATTCTCCCCCAAATATTAAAACCGTAAAAGAGGGGCCGTAGAAACTCACTTTCGTAGCGTGATCTCGATCCCGATTCATTTTGGTGAAGCTTTTCGTGAATAACCGCGAGGTCACCTTTCTTGGACTTTAAAACATTTCCGGGTTTGTTTGGTAATGTTTTAAACTAAAGGGGCTCGTTTTCAAATATTTTATATTTGAAGGAAAAGGCTGTTTTGCAATTTATTTTACACAAGGGACTAATTTGTAATGAATTATATCCAAAAGGGCTGTTTTTAAAATGTTTAAATCATTTGGGACCTGCTTTGAAAAGATTTATGTCAAGGGCTGATTTCCTGATTTAAAGTTATAATTGAAGGGACTGTTTCTGTCAATCTGATACAAGGTTTGGGGTACAAGGGATTTGACGCCTCATCTTCTCCATTCGTTCATCCGACCAAGCAAAAGGAACGGGAAAGCCAACAAATCGGAGCTGTGGATAACGTAATCGGCGAGGAGGGCATTGGGGTCGATCTCCGGCGATCTCCAATTTCGATTAGGTCGCCTTCATCGTCTTTGTGTCCGATCGAAGAAGAAAAAGGGAATGAAAGCAAAAGAGTGGTTCGGTGGTGGCTGTTGTCAACAGCAGTGGTGGCGAGGGAGTTGCTCCGGCGACTTCCTCATCGTTTCTTTATCTCTGGTCCGTTCGACAGCCACACACGAAGAAGGAAGAAGCAACAGTAGGGGTTTGTTTTGAGTTGTTTGATCGACAGGAAGAACGAGGGAGGAAGGGTGTGGGTTTCTCCGGCGACGAATCGTAGCAGCGATCAGTCTCCGGCGAGTCCTCGTGCTCCTTTCTCGTCGCCGACCGCAGAACTCAACGGAAAAACAGCAGCAACCGTCGATGGTGGAGTGGTGTTTGGTGATTAGCTTGCTTCCGATCGGAAATCATTAACTGGGGTGTTTAGGTGGTGCTAGACGACGGTGGAAGACAGAGAAGGAGGAGGAGGGCGCCATGGCCGGCAGCTTCACAGGTTCCTTCCTTTTTTTTTTTTTTGACTATTATTCAATGGAGCTTGATCAACAGGTTTAGATGGGTGATTGGGTTTTGATTATTTGACAGGGAAAGAAAGAGAATTCAATGGGTGTTTGGGACCTGTTTTTCTCATCAAAACAAAAGGAATTAAGCTGGAATGAAAGGGGGCAACAACCTCCCGTTTTGGTTTCTAAGAGAAGAAATGGGGACAGATAGATTGAAATGAGTGGGGAGGAAGATTGGGTGAAGCTTTGGATGATTGATTGCCTCCTCAGAAGTTATAACTCCACAGATTTTTCCATGATCTAATTGTACCCATGTGATCAATTTTGGGAGATTTGAAGGTACAAGGCAAAAATCATTTAGATATTTTACATGTATAGTATAAGTGTGATTTATTACTTGTGTATTTGTTTGTATAAGGTAGAATACGTGAAATGGCTGATTAGTCTAATGTAATTGCTTGATTTTTTTTTATTGACTTTAGTTTGCACTTCAATTCCTATAAGATTGTATGTATGTGTGTTTGCGTGTGTGGGTTGAAGATATTTGGAAGCAATTTCATACACACACAATACATATACATTTATGTATTGTGAGTTTAATACTTATATATGTATATATGTATTGTGAGTTTAATACTTATATATGTATATGATACATATTGAGGAATCGAGACAACTTGCCAAAATTGCAAGATAAGCCAAGACTAAATTGCAAGATAAGCCAAGACTTGGTCTATTAATATCGTATATGACATTTATATGACATTTATATACAAATATGTTTATATATAGTGATTACATAATTTTCTATTAGTCGTATGAAATTCGGATTTATAAATATAATATATTTAATATACATATTAAATATAAAATTACACACAATCGGTTATTAATACCTAGCGGTTCGCGGGGGTTTGACCACCAAACTCTGAACAATTTTTACCAATTGTTACAATATTGGCCCCAGTACGTGCCGTATCAAGTTAATGTATGGTTATAAAACTCACAATGTAGATAACAGAGATTTACTTTTGTAATAATGAATCAAGTGAACTAACCTCAAAGTAATAACCGATTTAATTACTGGAGGGTATTAATAATAATATCTTCAGGACTTAGTTCATCACGGTTTTCTTTTATTTAGTTTTTAAAGCTAATGTACCTCTCTGGGTGTAACCAAAGTTTTTAAAAGAAAACTGCTTTTATTAATACGAGTATGGTAGATACTTGCATATCTCAGTTTAAAACGAATAATCAACCATCAACCTTTAGGGAAAATATAGGATTTTCCCGGGATAAACCGGCTATTCAAAACGGATTTGTTTATCATGTAATCAACGAATATTCATATTCATTCCATGACACCTTGGATTGTACGTATCTTGGTACGAATCTGGAAGTCATGGAAGTAATGAGTTTTCAAACGTGCTTTTATTAAGAAAATATAGGATTTTCTTGAGGAACACTTTTCAAAAGGATCAAAGAACATTTTCCACCAAAAACTAAACGCTTATGAACTCGCCAGCTTTATGCTGACATTCTTTCAAAACTGATTGTATTCTCAAGGAATTAGTAGACAGGTACTTCCAGGAATTTGGAGAAGTCGGAGCGTTAGAGTCACGTCTTTCCATTTTACTTTTGATATGAACAAAATTATGTATTAAACAATGTAAACCTTTTTCATATATGTATTCAATGTTTGGTGGTGTTTACTATGCTTGCTATGATACAATTGTTGTGATACTACACATGACGTCAACCACCCCCGAACGTTTCCACCGTTCCGGTTTGGGGGTGTGACAGATTGGTATCAGAGCCCTTGTTTATAGCGAACTAAGTATACCGAACCATACATGGTATACAACTATAAATACTAAGGGGCCTAAGTGCTCTAAACTAAAAGTATACTTTCAAAAATATAAGTATTTTATTAAAAAGTATACGAACATACATACATAACAGAACCAGAATTCGTGTCATAGGTAGAACAAAACAAAAGTATTTGGATGTTGGACATCGCGGTTAAACCTGGGCAGTTATGTAATCATGTCTAGGGTCAATATAGCCTGATCAACTATATTCAGTCGAGATATGACCAACATGTGCTTGGGAGTGACTGTGGTGTTGCAACAAGCCTAAAACTTACCTAGATACCAGAAGAGTTCTAGAACCGAACATAAGGATTGAAATACTATAGAAGTATTTTAGGATGCAATAACGACCGAACCGGAAACTTACCCAGGAGAATCAATCATGTAACTATAATACATTGGAAGTATTATAGATTTGATGCCTATTAACTATCCCTTTACCATCACCTCGCGTAGATAGCATGGCTGGATTCCACCTCCCTGGCGACCCGTACTTTCCCAACCAAGGAGATGGCGGATGGATCGAGCCAGAGCCAGAATGAAACCATGAAATTCCTTTGGACGATGATTTTGCCGAACCATTTCCTGAAGAGACTGACTCGGAACCCGAAGTTGAGAACCTACCTCAAGTGACCCCAATACCAAATCCTAACCCTCAAGTTGGATTCCAAGGTCCAACGCCTATGTGGGTCGGGGGTTTGAATAGGTGGAGCCACGAGCAAGACCAACCCCTCCCATACAACGGAAACCGCAACTTCTACAATCTGAACGAAGGAGGACCCGCAGACAGGGCTCTTCCAATCCTGATACGACGTGTGGCTCGCAATGTGGAGCTAGGTATGGCAACCCTTCAGCCAACTGTGGAGCCCGAAGCAGATTCGGACACCAGCACAGATCGCATTCGTCGCCTCGAGATTGCTCATGCAAGAGCTGCAAGGCACAATGAAGCTTAACAATGAGAATTAGCTACGACCCAAGCCGAAGTCACAGAGCTCCGAGCACGCCAGTCAGGGTACGAGAGATGCCTGCTTGGTGTGGAACGCCAGCTGGCCGAATTAAGGTTTCACTTGAGGAGTACCCGTCGCCGATAAAGGAATACTCTACTCGTTCTTCCTTTTTTGGTCTAAGGAATAACTTTCATGTTTATGTTCTGAGTAGCCCTTTTCCGTAGACATCTTTTCTATATTCTATTATGTGAGGATAATTTAGGCCTATTTTTAGGCCTAGGATTCCGAAATATGTAATCTCAGTTTCAAACGTGATGGCTACAATCATTTTTCGATTAAAGATTATCATTGTCAAAGTATATCTTAGATCGGTATCACGCAAATTAAGCAAATTTATCAAAGTCCTGCTGCTGTTTGTCTTAAAAGCATGTATTATAGGAGGTACTCTTACCTGAGACGATCATCCCTTTTTTTCCCCATCGATTTCATATTAGTCTTCATGAAAAACTTCGATGTCATAATCGGCATGAGATGGTTGAGCCCCAAATCGTGCTGATGTCCTTTGCTCCGAGAAAGCGATTCGTAGCAATCTTCCCTCTAACGAAGTCCTCACTGGTTACAGTGGTAAAAATTTGTTCGAACCTTCGTAGCATTTCATGCGTCAAAACCCAGAAGTATCTGCGAAACAGATGCTATGCATTCCCGGCTCATTTGTCAACGTGACGCAAAAAGTTACAGACCTCGAGAGCATCTCCAAAGTCTGCAACTTTCCTGATGTCTTTCCCAGAGACATTCTAGGAATTTCTCCCGAGCGTCAAGTTGAATCTTGTGTCGACTTGATCCCCGGAACTACCCTTATAGCTAAACCTCCATATCGTCTAGAGTCGACGAAAATGTGAGAGTTATCCAGCCAGCGCAATGAGCTGAACAACGAGGAGTTCGTAAGTTTATTGTATGTGAACTTTATTGTGTTCAAATCTTTTCTATCCTTGCCAGGACCACATCATGGGGATGTGGGTCGAATCATTGAGGGTCAGATAGCAAAACGGGCAGTCTCGATGCATAGATAAACATTTAGGATATATCCAGAGGCAACCATTGTTGCTCACAAACTTCTTTTCTTGACATATAACAGATCATGCCTTCGAAGAAACGTAGCCAACCCACCGGTAAGACACCAATCCTCCAGATGGACTCAGCTACGTTCCAAGCCACTGTCACAGCAGCCGTAGCAGCCGCCCTAGCCGTTCTTAACGCTAACAACACAAATGTGGGCGGAAGGGTTAATGGCAATCCAAATCTTGGCGTTAACCAATCTCAACAAAAAGTGTACTAGAAAGGTCACACCTGATCTCCAACCTAACATCCTGAAACGAAAGTTCCAAGGAAGTTGCTCAACCCAAGGACCCACTGAAAGGCAACGAACTGGGGCATTTAACACCCCAACCAACCCTGCTGTTCCAACACCAACCACACCCTACTTTGGAAATCTCCCGTACTGCAGCAAATGCAACTACCACCATCACGGAGTCTGCTGAGAGCTGCATTGCACTAGATGCAACAGGAAGGGGCACACCTCCCGCAGTTGTAGAACCCTAGTCAAGTTCATCACTCCGACTACAAAAGTTGAGACAAGTCCAACCTGTTACCTCTGTGGTAGTGTAGGACACTTCAAAAGAAATTGTCCAAAGGCTAAGGATGGCCAGGAAGCTCGCTTTGCAAAGACCCCGACTCAACACATCACTTCCACTACCGACGCTAGCATGGTTCGAGTGTGTTGTACATGTGGCGAAATGGGACATTTCAAAAGAGACTGCCCAACAGAGAAGAACAATGAGGAAACAGGAGGAGTCTGACCCCAGAGGATGAGGAAACATCGAAGAACCCTGCTATGTTTTGGTACGTTTTCGAAAACCCCAATAATTGCTCATAATCGTGATTACTTCCTCGTCCAAATTGAATCACGACATTCTTATAAGATTTAAAGCCCTAATGAGTAATTATGATAGCTTAGTGAATATGTTAGGTTCAGTTGTAGTATTACCTGGCTTGTATACACCGAACGATCATAAAGAGATCTAGTAAGAACCATTTCATAAGAGTTCATAGTTTCAAAACTTCAGGACCCTCGTGTTAGTAGTACCCACCAATTTCGAATCAAACACAGAAAACACCAGAGACATTCATCTAGGGATACCAATGTGCTAACAAAACGATCCTCCTAGATTAACATAACGCACGATTCTACGACATCATCCTGTTTAGTCCGACTAAGTCTACGATATGCCAAACCCTTTGGCCTTAAATCGTTCAATCACAAAACTCTCATCGCTCGTATCGACGAGCTAGATGTGAACTTCGAAAATTCATCTCTTTTCGAAACCCGAAAGTATTCAAGCGAAGAGTATCATCCACAAAGAAATGGACAAAGTAAAAGAACAATCCGGACAATTGTAAATACGTCGTGGGACACTCATCTACCCTTAGTGGAACTTTCTTGCAACAACGACGACCTTTCCAGCATCAAGGCTGCGCCGTTCGAAGCCCTCTATGGCCGTAAGTACAGACCCCTTTGTGCTGTGCTGAGGTGGGCGAGACACAACTAGACAAGAGTCAAGTCCCCGACAGCACCCTCACAAGTCC